ACTAGCGAAAATACCGCAAGACTATTGTGACAACCTAATATTTATGGCAATTACCCATTACGTATTGGGATTTTTTTTATATTTTACATTATTACAAAACAACATTATTACATTATTACTAACAACAGTTAAAAAAAAATAATTACAAATAAATTAAAACCACTGTGAAAATATTACTCATACGCTGTGGCTACCATGAAAAGTACTTTGGAAGATACAACTGTTTTTAAGAATTAAATATAAAAATACATATCCTTCACAGCTACAACAAATATAATCAATTTAACGCTTTAACAATTCCGAAAAAATATTTATTTATTTACAATCAAAAAGTCACGCGTAAGCTGCGCAGCGAAAACCAATGAAATCCGTGAATAATGTGAGTGTGTGCACTCAGCAATGACAACAAATGACACGTAAAGTGATGCGATCGAAATTATAAAGTGAAAATTACTACCACATGCCGCATATAAGCATTTATGTCTTTACATATTTATTTACATGCCTTTGCGTGTCTGTGTATGAGTGCGTGGCATAGGCGCGCATAGCACTTAAATTTAAAGTAAAAATTGTGTAGTGTAATAAAAACGTGAAAATTATGGCTGGTTACGATGCGGCCGATGAGGCCAATACAGAGCTGCTCGAGAAACTCAAGCATTTGGATGTGCGCGCCAAGACGGAGGAGCGCACTAATTGCTGGAAAGGCTGTTGGAAATCGAGAAAATGGAAATCGGCGCTAAATCACATCGGTTTGCTGGTATCGCTGTCAATCTACTGCGGTGTGGGTGGACTGGTGAGTGCGAGAAGTGAAATAAATTACAATTAAAGGGTTGCAGAGTGCAATTGTGTGGAAAGCAATGAAATTATAGACTAGAGTTTTTTACATTTTATTTAATTTTCTTAAGCCAATGCAACGCTGGTAGAGTTGACTTGACACATTTCTTATAACTTAAAAGGGAATTTATCTTGATATCAGTCTATATGTTAGCTATATTATATAGGTCTCATCTGAACAATATTTTTGAAGGTAGTAACATTGCTTTGAACAATAATTTCTGTGAATTCTTGTGAAGATAATTTGTCAAAATAAAAAGTTTTTCGTAAAAGGACTTAATTTTGTTCAGCCAGCTTGTATGCCTGCTCTATGCTATGGTTGCTTGATCACAATTAACTGTGCTAAATTTGATTAAGCTATCTCGAAAAATAAAAAAGTTGTTCATATAAGGACATGATTTTCATCGTGCACTTTGTATGGCATCTTTGAAGATTACAATATTCCCTTAAAAAATAATCCATGCCAAATTTCTCAAAAATATTTCTGCAAATAAAAAAGTTTTTCATACAAGGACATTAATTACAATTATACTTACATTAATTTATGATCGCAAGCGTTGTTCAAGCAACCGCAGGCATTTAAATCAACACAAAAATTAATGAAAAATTTTAACATAATTTCGCTTGTTTGCCCTGCACGATTTATTTGTGTTTATTTTCAAGTGGCTAGTGAACATTTAAGTGTTTCCAATAAAAATGCTTTATATGTTTGTTGTGCGAAGCAAAAACAAAAACAACAATAAAACCATCCAAACTCAAAACAAATAAACAACTTTTTGGTTGCGAATTGCGTGTACTTACGCAAGAACTAATAGAAACAACGGTAAATGGATTTTGGGTGAAAAATTATTTAGTGAAAAATGCAAGTAATTCATTTCAATCAATTTGTGTGCTATTAAAGAATACAATACAGGTCGGAAAAATGATTTGTATTGCGCATGCGGCAAGTTCAAATGCAAACCTGTTGCTGTCTAACAAGCAACTCTTTCTTGGCAGATGTAAATTTATGAATCGGAGTCCGGACCAATTTTATATAAAATTGCAAGATGAAATTTAATTCCTTTCAAATACAATTTCTTCTGAATCTAATAGGAATGAGAAGGCAGAAAACATGATAAATATTTCTCTGTGGACCTTGTCCGAGTGAATAATTCTTTACCGTAACAATTAACAACGGTCTCTGTAGTTCTCAATAGAGTATAGGTTAGATAAGTTTTCAGCTTATATTCCGCCTTTCTCCTACTCAGAATATAATGTCTTTATATAAAAAGCGATTTTTTACAACTTTAACCTACACAAAGTCTGGTCATCAGTCAAGCTTTTCTGTCATAGATCATTCCATATATGAACTTATGGAACAACAATGATCTTAAAATTCGATTCTCGGCATAAAATACTCGCACTAAATATAATAAACGCATTTTAATTAAATTTTCAAAAATATTCTTAATTTAGTTTAATTCGAAATTGCTTCAAAAATACATATATTTTAAGAGATTTATTAAAATCGAATTTTTTATTATCTTAATAAATTCTGCAACCCCTCTCGAATATTGTCCTCCATTTTCAAGTTGAACCTAGTAATAGTTTCGAAGATTCAGACATGAGGTCTTGTGCGTTCGAGGATAGGTAGGCTAAGTGCGCCGTCTTTCTCGAAGCTGTGTTTTTGAAGTCGGTTGGCAAGATTTCTCGAGAACTACTCAACCCATCTTCATGAAATTTTATACATGTCTTTGAGATACAATTCTTAAAGATTTCGACAAAAAAAATTTTTTATTTTATTTTTTTATTTTTTATTTGGAAAAATGTCTAACAACAATCCAATTTTCAGTTTTTTCCTTCGTCCAAGTTCAACGTTAGGGTTTCAATTAATTTAATTTTGATGAAATTTTGTGCTAACTCAACATGTTTGTTCCATTAACAGGGTTGTCATGACTTTACTTTCACTAAATATTTTTCCATGAAAACATTTTTATTTACTTGCATTTTATGTACGAGTCGTACAAGCGGCGTTTTTTTCGTGTGGATTTACATTTATTTTAGATCTCTCAGTAGATAAAGGTTTCGTTCTTTGTGCTGCAATTTCTAGGTAATTTACATACATACAAATTTAACGGTAAACAAACAAGTCTACGCAAATTTCAAAAAACTTCGCGGAAAGTTAAATTTGGGGCTCTCGCGTGAATGAAGAGCTTTACCAAAGTTTGACGATGTAATTTGTGTCAAGGGAATTTTGTTGACTTTTTCTTATAATTTTTTTGTTGTACTTGCGGTTTATTTAACTAGCTGCAAATTGAGCAAGTTCGTACATATGTACATGTGAGTACATAATTTAATATATAAATATGCATATGTGTATATAATATATCGCAGTACGTTATTGCTGGTAAAAGAAAATACAAGTATATTTTTTTAACATTTCTTTTTATAATTTTTCCCATTTCATTTTTTTAGCTTAAAATTTATTCTCCATAAATTAAAAAGAATTTAAAGGCTTAAGTAAAGCAATTTAAAAGACAGGGTATTTATTTGAAATAATTGTCTTTGTCTTCAACGCAATATTTTCCCAGCTGCTGTAGCCTATCCCGTTATAAATAGATATGGTTCTTAATATGTAAAAAGATTTTAATGAATGCGGAAGTGTCACTATAGCAACAATTTATTAAAAGAAATAATTTTTTTAAAGCAGAGCAAAAGAAGATCTTAAAGTTTGGAGTAAACATTTATAGGTAAAATTACAAAACATTTCCAGAATGCCAAAGCAGCTTGTAATTGAGAATATTTTTTGACGTGTTGCCACCTGTTTATGAAAATATTATACAGAAAATTTCAAAAAAAATTAAATGATAAGGGAGTAACTGTAAAATGAGTTAAACACTAAAAAACATTCAAATAGATATCGGTTGAAAAATTTTTTTGAAAGGAGTTGCCACTTGTTTCAATTTTTTTATAAAGTTTTATCTCTTGAAATGGCAACTAAAACGCATTAACAAAGATATCTTTAGCAGAATTTTTGAAAAGAGCCATATTTTTGAAATTTTGTATTCAATTCCTAAAGTTTGAAGTAAAAATATATTGAAAGAATTACAAAACATTGCTAAATGAACATCAAACTGCAGAGTGCTAACGGAGCTCGTAGTATTGTGAATATTTTTTGATAAGAGGTGCCACCTGTTTAAGAAAATACTATGAAAAAATTTCTTTTTTTTTATTTAAATGCTAAATGAGTAACTGCAAAGTGAGTTAGCTACTACAAAGCATTCCTATAAATAGCGGTAACAGAATTTTTTTTAAAAGAGTTGCCACCTTTTTTGAATTTTTTATTCAATTAATATTTTTGAGTTGGCAACTAAAAAGCATTTAGATGGATAGTGGTAGCAGAACTTTAAAAAAGGGTTGCCACCATTTTGATTTTTTTAAATTAAAAATCAAATTTTTGATGACATTTAGGGTAATTAACTGAATCAATTGAAATTATTTTTGTTGGAGCGTTATATTTTTCAAGTCAGCTGTCAGCATTTTGAAAATTGTCACTTAACTAAATTGATAAAATGCACACACTAGTTTGACCATATTTTTATTAAATGATTGGTTTTTGAAAAATCTTTGACATTATATAAGGAAATGTTTTCAATAGCAACAGTTTACGAAGCTTCCTAGCTAACTTCAGTTTTAATAAAACATTGAATCATTATTAGCAACGGATAAAAGAAGTAATAATGAAGGAACCCTATTCTAAAATTTTGTTTTGACTAACATTTTTGCAAATTATAAGCCAAAATAAAAATTACTTCCTCGGAAGTATTGACTAGGTATCCTTCTTATTAAGATTTATGCCCGTAAGTTGTTCTGAGTCACTATTTAAGAGTGAAAAGGTTAATCAACTCCCCTGACACTGATTTAAAAGACAGAAAATTTTCACTTTTTTCCTCAATTAAGTGCTGTGTTACATGTGAGAAATGAGCCAAAAGGCATATATATATTACCTATATTTTTTTAAACTCCATTGTAACATAGAATACTAATTTCACGTCTACGAGACGTACTTGCCAGTGTCATTCACTTTTTTTAATAAAAATATTTTGTCTAACTTTTTTTAAATTTCTTCAAGAAGAAATATTAACACTCTTTACAAATAAAAATAAAAAATAAAATGTCCCTAACATGACAAATTAATCTTTCTTCACAGATAAAAGCTCTGCCGCAATAAAAACAATTAATTCATACAAAATACCACCTGTCAGCAAACATGTTCACATAGGAATGGCCAAGCACACAAATATTTCACGATTGTCATCGCCAAATCCTCAAATTACACACATAATTAATTCAATTCATAATCTATGCAATGCAACTGGCAGGGCGCCAAGTAGCCGAGACCGCAGTGTCACATACATATGTATGTATCAAACGTCATTTTCATCGTCATCGTGGGTGTATGATGATTGTCATACTGCGGTTGTTTACAATGACATCACTAGTGATTGGTTGTTGTTGTTGACACTTCATGGTACTCATCTACATAATTGATCCTTGCCGTCAAGTGCCGCTTAGTGTTGGTATGTTTTAAAGGGTTAGATAGAGATTTTACCACTAATTAAGAATTTTGTTTTGACTAATATTGTAATTAATTTCGGAATAACATAATAGGTGATTAGATTTTCCAAAAAAAAAGGTATTTTTGATAAATTATTAGCGCAAAATAAAAATTACTTCCATGGAAATATTGACTGGTATGCTCCTTATTAAGATTTATGCCCGCAAGTTGTTCTGAGGCACTATTTAACAGTGAAAAGGTTAATCAACTCCCCTGACACTGATTTAAAAGACAGAAAATGTTCACTTTTTTCCTCAATTAAGTGCTGTGTTAMATGTGAGAAATGAGCCAAAAGGCATACATATATTACATATTTTTTTTTAAACTCCAATGTAACACACTCTCGATTAGCGTACACGAAA